AAGCTAAGCAGGAATAGCACAGGAAAGTGACGGAGTCTGTAGAATCCAAGGGTTAGCTTTGGAGTGATCAATGAAGTACTTTAGCTCTTCCAGCTTCATTGCCTCCATGTCTCTCTCTATCTCTCTCTCCCTCTCTCCCTCTCTGAAGGCTTTTTCTATATCTATACATAATATATTTTCATTTCGAAATATAAAACAGTGAAAGGCGACATACTTTATTTTTCCAAATTTGACCTTCCATCTTAGTGCAAGGCTCCGGCCTCACAACACGAACTGACAAATTTAACAAAAGCGATAAAAAAATTAAAAAAAAAAACAAAAAAACAAAAACAAAACAAAACAAATAAAAAAAACTGGAAATTGATGGTTTACCTGCGGGCTGCGAAAGCACGGCGGTTGCCACCTGCAAAGTCGACGGCGGATGGATGGATGCGGGCTGCGGTTCTCTTCCACCTTCCTTTAAAAAAAACAAAACAAAACAAATCAAAACACTAGAAATCGATGGTTTACCTGCGGGCTGCGGAAGCTCGGCGGCTGCCGCCTACAAAGTCAACGGCGGATGGATGGATGTGGACTGCGGTTCTCTTCCAGCCTCCTTGAATCCATGTCCATCTTTGTCTCTCTCCCTCCCTCTATGTGAAGCCTTTTTCTATATCTATATCTATATCTATATACCTAATATATTTTCATCACATTTCACAGAGTAATAATAATAAAAAACAGGGAAAGGTGTTGAATCGACGAAAGGACAGTGTGAAGAAAATAAAATATTTAAATAATCTAGAATTGGAACAGAAAAGTCAATAAATCTGAGAATAAGTCGGGGAGATGATATGGCGGTGAAGGCTGTCCATTTGAGGAGAGAGAGAAGACTAAGGAAATTAAAAAAAATAATAATGGCGTGAAAGAAACTCAATTGGTAACATTCACATTAAATGCAAGCATGAATTGTCAGAAAGAAAAGTATAGTAGGTAAGGGATGGGTTGGCAGGCCATATCATGTGACTACAGTAAAAAGGAACACTCTCTCTATACCTCACAAGCCGGATACAAGTCGTATACAAGCCGGATTTTGAACGGCTGGTGCATCAGAAGGGCAGAGGAGGAATTTCATATTGCAAAAAAAGGGCACATGAGGAATTTCATGTAGCAAGGTCCAACCATTAAAGCACACGGCACAAAAAAAGTCGCCTGAAAATGTCATGGGCAAAAATCACTAAGCCTTTATGCGTATTTATAGATATGTATGTAATATATATATATATATATATATATATATAATGAGATTGAAAAGGTTTGGTATAAGCCTAAGCTCGTGTGCGCCGGCACCTGGGGGCTACGTTACTTAGTGGCCTGCTGTTTCACTCCAACAGCCCTATATAAGAGAGGTTAGAGCAGCAGAATTTTAGAACATAGAAAATCATATTTTCCAACCTCAAAACTCTCTACTTCTACTCTCTTTTTAGCCTAACTGTGTTCATCCCATTGCTCTAGTTCGTCGGATTCCTTGTTTGGATGCTCAAACATTAAATCGTAGCAAGTTTTATTCTGGGAAGCCTAGGCTACAATGCTCCTAGCACTTGTGGGAGGTAGCAAATAAGGTTTTATGGAAAGAGTGATCGCTCGACTCATGCTAAAAACCCTACATCAAACACGAGCCTATCTCTTCATTTTTCCTTCCCTTTTTCTACAGAAAATAATAATCCTTATTTTTGTAGGATTATTATTCAGTTTTACCAACGAATACCCAACAACGACGACCAAGAGCACGGGAGACCAACGACGAGCGACGAGGACGGGAGACCAGCGACCTTGCGGCGAGTGCTGGAGAAAGGCGGCGACTCAACGAATGGCGAGGGGCGGATGCTGCGGCAACTTGCGAACTACGACCAGTGAAGGGGGAAGACGATGGAGAGCGGCGGAGGGTGTGGCTGTGTGGGGTGTTTGTTGGCTGGGAATAGCAGCATCGCTTAGATGGGGGCTGTTTGAGGGCATAGGGCTGTGGGGAAGACGACGGGCTAGGGGTGGTTTTTTTCAAATAATCCTAACAATCTGCGTTCGATGTTTGATCGAGTACATCGGACGCAGATTGTCCTTAATTTAAAAAATTAAAAAATAATTAAATAGTGTCATTTTAATTACAAAAATGCCACCGCCCCCACTTTACATGGCCGATGTTTAAACTTTAGACGCAGATTGTTAGATTTTTATGATCATTTTTGTACTAGTGACTTAAATATGCAATCTTTTAACAACTAAATATGCAAATCTATTAAATTTTATAAAATCAATGGAAAAGCTAAATTTTAAATCCAAACTATAAATGCTAGACCCTAAGCAGTAAAAAGTGAACCACTAAACCAAATAAAACAAAAAATTCAGTCATAAATTCTAAAATCGAAACCCTATGTGCAATGTACTTTCGCAATTTTGCAAGTGGAATCTTTTAATATTAAATATGCAAAATATTAATACTAAATGTGTAAAAATATTAATACTAAATGTGCAAACCTGAAAAAGTATGAAAATTACAGATTTTAGTATTCAAATTTGCATAGTAAAGTTGGTCATAATTACGAAAATGCCACTTTTTTTTTTTTTTTTTTAAATCTAATCTGATCCATCCAATTTTTCCATATGTAAGGTTGAGATTAGTTCTTATTTCTCTCCTAAGGACTTGTTCTCATTTGTTCTTGGTTCTTTTCCAGATGCTTGGCTAAACTACAACTTGTCAAAATGGCGTCGTTGCCGGGAAGTCAAAATGGCGTCGTTGCCGGGAAAAACAACGGTCACTTTTGCATATTCCATCGTGTTATCTTGTGAAGCCATTGTGTTGTTATTTCCATCATCTTGTCCATTGTGTTGAATTGTGTTTTCACATTTTTTTTTACCATTTTACATTATGTTCTTTTCATTCCTATCTCTTCTTGAACCATTGAAATTGAAATTGCACTTTGATCCCACTTGCAACTACTTCTAGTTTCAAAATCTTGTTCTTAATATTGTGAGGATTGATCTTTGCAAGATTTACTCTCAATATTGTGATTCCTATGATGATTCTTTCCATCCTTTCCATTAATCCCATAAAAAACATACCCCAGCACCACAAAAATCATACTCTTAAAATGCCTATTCTTACAACCCGCACTATCAAAACCACCATTACACTACACCACCACCTCAACAAAGATACACATACATGATTCCCCAAAGAACTATCAAGAGTCTTCCTATGATCTTGATTTGAGCATTCATGTAATCGGGCCCAACCACTACAAAGAGAAATCCCTCATGATTATTCGGGTGAATACCAAACACCAATATTTTACCGGAAAGATTATGAGGAGGATGTCATGATCAAGGAGACTATTCCAATTTTTACCGGGAAGATTGAGGGACCACTTTTCACCAAGCCTATCATTCTCAAGTCTATCCCTCTAACCATTTTGAAGAAGATGATGACTACTTTTCACTAAGTCGCCAAAACAATTCTCAATCCTATACCTCTTACCCATACCAAACTTACTCTCCACCATCATACACTCAAAACACACCTTCGACCGAAAAGAAATCCATCATGGAGCTTATGTGTGAAAATTGGCGGAACCCCAAGCCAAAAGATCCAAATTAAATGACTCCTACAAAATCATTGAGGAGCATATGTGGGAGAAATGAAGTTGTCACTTACTTGCTATGCTTGTGGAGAATCTCACTTGCCTTGCTTCCTTAGTATCTAGGTTTTTCAACTCCACACGAGTTTACTCCGTCTCTTTCTAGTTCTACCGAGTAAAGATACAAAGATTTTCAACAAAAGATTGTTGAATCTCCAACACATAGACTTGGCTCTTGGATCTTAATTTGAATCTTCACAATTCGTCAACCAAAGTCTCAACTGGATGTAGCTTTGTAGCTTAATTTGTTTCTCTCACACACTGGTCACTTGATAAAATACTTGAAAGCTTTTGAACACCTGTAAATTTTTTACTTGATTGACCAACACACTCTTTAGTCTTGAATGAAGGTATTTATTGGTATTTTGAAATAAATCCGTTGGAGGAAAATCTATTTCAAACGTCCTTTAACCATTGGGTAATGACCAATGGACAATTCGAAAATTTGCTTTTGTGTAAGATTTTCCAACCGTTGGACCTCCTTTATTTGCTAAACTTTACTTTTTGTTATGCTCCTTTTGTCTAGACTTTTTAAGAAAAATCTCCTTTGGGATGTGTACCTAGGACTCCTTTGCCTTTGTCACATTTTCACATAACGCTTATTTGCTTTAAAGTTTCGAATTGTTTGCTTATAAGAGGATGTCTCGAACAGTTCCTTCGAACAATTAACTCTTAGCATTTGAGTTCATGTTTCGAACCTTATGCATTCAACCTTTCGGATTCAAATAGTTGACCTTACTATTCGATCTTTTGTAAGTCTCTTCTATTCGGTAAGGTAGGCCCTTCCACTCTTCGGCCTTTGCAACCTTCCGATCTCGAATTCTTTTAGTACTCTTCGACTCGAACTCTTCTTTTCTTGAACTCTTTGAAGCTTGTCTTTAGATCACCTGAGATGTAACTATGTGAGTTATCATCCAGACTATTCGATTAGAGAAAATTGAGTTCCTAAGTCTAAAATTTAAAGTAAAGTAAATTGGGGACTAAAATTTCCTAACTTTGGTATCATAAAAATCTAAATTACAGTTGTTCCTAACAAGCACCAAGCTTATCGAGATAAAATATTTTGGGCCAAATCTTAAATTTTTTAATTTTATCGGGCCAGCCCATCAGCTTCATGCAAAGATTGACATCTTAATTACTTATAACCCAATTACACATATAAATTCCAAATTATGAAAATCCAATAAAACTTGTTATAATTAAACTAGCGTTACGACTTATAAATAGGAGTCTGGTCCCCAGAATATTTATTGCATTCTCCATTTCACTGGTAGGTACAAAGACAAAGTTTCATCACAAGAAAGCTCTCATCTTTCATTTGTCTGATAGATGTTTGTTCAGAAAAGTATTGCAGCCATTGCTATAATAGCAATGTTGTGCGGTTTTGCTTATGCAGATACTATCATCGTTGCAAGCGGCGAATGGGGCCTTAACATGGATGGCTGGCCAAATGGCGAAAAGTTTAAGGCTGGTGATGTTCTATGTATAAAAAAAAAAAAAATTATTTAATAATCAAATATATTCTTGGTCAAATTAATTAATTAACAACTAATTTTTTTTATTATTATTTTGTATTGCTTTTTAGAGTTTGACTATGATACGCATTTTCAGGATGTGTGGATTGTGAATAAGCACAACTATGATTCTTGCACTTCATTTGGAACGAGGTTGAACTCTGGGCACGATTTTGTTATACTGTCAAGAAGAACCAGTTACTTTATTTCAGGTTTTTCTAGCATGTGTCAAATAGAGGTTAAGGATGAAGTTATCGCTGAGTGATAGGTATGTCTTTGGTTAGAGTCATAAATGTTTTAAATCAGTCAGCTTATATGATGTGCAGCAAAGCAATAGATTATGGCATGATAAAATTACATATATGATGAGAACCGTACGTACTAATGCGGTTTGAAAGAGACGAAATTTTATGACAAGTTGTTTTATGTACTCAATTTTGGCCCAACAATACTTCTTGCATTGCAGTTATACTTTGTTATTTTGGGGTGAGTTAATGTCGGATTTGATCCCTTGTCTATTAGGATTTTATCCTCAACTTTCAAACTTGCTAAATTTCATATCCAATTATGTAATTATTAACCAAAATCACTGCTGAAAATTATGGAATTTCTGACCACCTGAAAATGATCTTAAATTAAGTCAAAAGCCTTGTTCCGATCACTTTTGGTGTCTGGAAAAACCTTTATAGCTATTTTCGACCACTTTTTACTTTAGATTTGATTTAAGATCATTTTCAGGTGGTCGGAAATTTCATAATTTCCAGTAGTGAATGGTCCTAATCAGGACTATTTTGGTTTCGACAAAAGACTATTTTAGGTAAAATTTGCGTAAATGGAGATGAAATTGAGCAAGTTTGAAAGTTAAAAATCAAAATGGTGAAATCCTAATAGTTGAGGAACCAAATTAGGTATTAACTCTTTTGGGGTTGTACAAATTATGTAATATTTGTCAATTTTGCCCTCATCCACTTTACTCTTTCTTAAAAATAAATATATGTTTTAAAGTTTATGTATTTTATTTTATTTAATTTCTTTAATTCAATAAATTTATGACACTCAATGATTTTAATATGAGAATTTTGGTCGGAAACAAAGTATTTTCCATTACTAAAATACTAACACACTAACGAAAATCCTAAACTTTAGTAATTTTGCAGTTTTAAAGACTAAAACTGTAACTTTCTTAAAAAATGTATGGAATATATTATAACGACAAAAAATGTGGAATTAAAATGACTTGAGAAGAATATTGAATGACTAAAATGCAATTTACCTATAAATATAAAAGATCTCTAAAAAAATACTTAGATTGATCGAATTAGACCCAAATATGAAATTATAAATTATAAAATTATAGTATCAATTAATGTCACCTATATTTAAGTAATCAAACATAATTCAGTGAACACTCGGAGGAGACGAAACTTCATAAATGGCTTGCTGACTGAGGGAGGGGTGTTGGTTACGGATGAGAGGCAGATGGGGGAAATAGCAGTGGATTATTTTGATCGGTAAACTGGCAATTTATATCCTACACCACGGAGCGCGTTGCACTGTGCGCCCAGATGCAAAACGATGTCGTTTTAATTTATATTTTTTTTTTTTAAATTCCCGCCCAAGTGAATGGCAGTAATTTTTTCTTAAAAAAAAAAAAAAAAAAAAAAAAAAAACCCGCTGTTCAAAAATTTACATAATATTATACTAGAATACACATAATTGTATACATGAATGTACATAATTATATAACAAAATATACATACTCTTTTTAAAAGATAATACACATAATCTAACATCTAACATAATACATAATAAACATAAACTTTTAACATAATACACATCAACTCTTAACATAATACACACAAATTTTCTTATTCGGATGTACATAATTGTATAAAAAGAATGTACATAATTGTATAAAAAATGTACATAACTGTATGAACAAATATACATAATTGTGTGAATAAATACACATAATTGTGTGAACAAATACACATAATCACAGCAACTTCCTACCGCGCCTCCCAAAACGACGCGCGCGACGCACAGTGCTATGCGCGCCGTGGTGTAGGGTATAACGATTGGTTGTTTACGGCGGGAGGAGGGGATGGGAAGCTGGCTCTGGATTGTGTGGAGGGAAGGGTGTCGGCTGCTCTGAACGAGGAACTCTTGCGTGAAATTTTCCATGCAGAAGTTCGGGCGGCCTTATTTGCTATGCACCCGGACAAGTTCCCGGGCCCTGACGGTTTATCTCAAGCTTTTTTCCAAACTCATTGGGATGTATTGGGTGAGGGGGTAGTTTCTTTCTGCAAATCATTTTTAAATTCTGGTCAGTTACCTATCTCTGCTAATGATACCCATATTGCTTTAATTCCCAAAAAGAAAAAACCTGAGTTGATGGTTGATTTCCGCCTGATTTCTCTATGTAATGTGCTTTATCGAGTCTTGGGGAAGGTCTTAGCAAATCGTGTTAGACCTATTCTGGATTCTATTATTTCATGTGCTCAGAGTGCTTTCATTCCGGGTGTTAGGAATATAGCGGAATAATGCGGAAGCGAAGAATCGAAAATTGAGAATTATAGAAGTTAAATAATATAAATAGGGAAAAATATATATAAATGACAAAGAATATAATAAAAGAGAAAATATAATATATATATATATATATATATATATATATATATATATATATATATATATATGTATGTATCTACGTGAAGATCAGACAAAGAGAAAGAATGAATTACAATTTTTGAGGCATTTTACAAAGCATAAGGCTATTCTATTTATACTATACAAATGAGATAATTATGCATGTAATGAAGCATGTTGCGGCAATAGCGAAGGAGACAAATGCGCGAAGAAGCCGTTCGTGGTCCACAAGCCTACATGCATGGGTTTGATTTGATCCGCATCCTAACAATCTCCATCTTGGATCAAATCCACTTTAAGAATTATTAACAATTGGAACAGTCTGACTAAACTCAAGCACTACTTGAACTTAGCAACAGGAAGAGCCTCGGAATAGCAAGATGGATCACCATCAACTTCCTGTGTGACTGAAAGAGCATAAGCAACCAAGTGGGTTTCATCATCACTAGCATACCTAGCAGGTTTTTTAATTTTCCTCCTAGGACGATCCATAGCAATGGAATACTCTCGTTGTGGCTCGACGAGAGTTGCGGTGCTAGTAGATGCATCAGACTTTGACGAGGATACCGCAATTGAACCTGTCACAGTACTGCCATGCAAGACGTACAAGCTTCCAAAAAGAGAAGCTTTCATGAGAACAAAAGAGCCTTTGATGACCTTTAAAACTCCACCTTCAGCTGTGTACTTGCACCCCAGAGATTCCAAGGTGCCCAATGATATCAGATTGCGTTTCAAATCAGGAATATACCGAACATTGGTAAGAGTCCTGACAACGTTATCATGAGTTTTAATCTGAACACTTCCAATTCCACTAACCTTGCATTAGGTATCATTACCCAACAAGACAACTCCACCATCAACCGGTTCCAGAGAAATGAACCAATCTTTGTGGGGACACATGTGGAATGTACAACCAGAGTCCAAAATCCACTCGGTTTCACTCCGTTTCTCACCGGAGCTAACAGATAACAACACATCACCATCTGAATCACTTTCAACAACACTAGCTTCAGCGGACTTCTTTTCTCTCTCTTGCTTGTTTTTCAACTTGAAGCATTCAGTCACATCATGACCATGCTTCTTGCAGTACTTATAGGATTTGTTGGACTTGGATCTAGATTTTTTATTGCTACTCTCTGATTCAAGTGAATGACCCCTTACAGTCAAGCCTTCACCTTTGTCCTCAGACTTAATTTCAAAGTCAAACTTTTCTTTGGATAATAGGTTTGACTTAACATTGTTGAAAGTAAGGGTATCACTACTATTACCATACAGCATAATTTCTTTGAAATGCTTGTATGAATTAGGGAGAGAGACAAGCAATAAAACAGCACGATCCTCATCGTCAATTATGACATCAATATTTTCCAAGTCCAATAAAATAGAATTGAATTCATCTAAGTGAGATTTAATAGAAGTACCTTCCGTCATACGGATTGTGTACAGACGCTCCTTCAGGCGTAGCGTATTCGCCAGAGTTTTGGCTATGTAAAGCGTATCCAGTTTGGACCATAAATCTGACGTAGTCGTCTCACTTACTACCTCACGTAGAACCTCTTTAGACAGGCACAAAAGAATGGTTGAACGTGCCTTGTCATCCAAATCTTCCCAATCTTCATTTGTCATTGTAGCTGGTTTCTTCTTCTTCCCAGCTAGCGCTTTCTTCAAACCGTTCTGGGTTAGAACGGCTTCCATCTGAACCTTCCAGATAGAGAAGCTAATTTTCCCGTCGAACTTCTCGATATCGAACTTAGTGACAGTCGACATCTTTGAAAATAATTCTCAAATAAACCACTCTGATACCACTTGTTAGGAATATAGCGGAATAATGCGGAAGCGAAGAATCGAAAATTGAGAATTATAGAAGTTAAATAATATAAATAGGGAAAAATATATATAAATGACAAAGAATATAATAAAAGGCAAAATATAATATATATATATATATATATATATATATATATATATATATATATATATATATATATATGTATCTACGTGAAGATCAGACAAAGAGAAAGAATGAATTACAATTTTTGAGGCATTTTACAAAGCAAAAGGCTATTCTATTTATACTATACAAATGAGATAATTATGCATGTAATGAAGCATGTTGCGGCAATAGCGAAGGAGACAAATGCGCGAAGAAGCCGTTCGTGGTCCACAAGCCTACATGCATGGGTTTGATTTGAGCCACATCCTAACACCGGGTAGGTCCATTATTGATAATGTGTTAATTGCTTACGAGTCTACCCATGCTCTATATCGGGGTCAGGGGAATGGGGAGGTTGTGTGGCTTTAAAAGTTGACATGAGCAAAGCCTATGATAGGGTTGAATGGGGCTTCTTGAGGGCTGTTATATTAAAACTAGGTTTAATTTCAATAGTCAATGAGCAAATCTGATGTATGAGTGTGTGTCTACTATTACCTATTCTGTGTTGGTCAATGGGAAGGAATGGGGTCCAATCCGGCCAACACGAGGGTTGCGTCAAGGGGATCCCCTTTCCCCGTGTCTGTTTATCATTGTGGCAGAAAGTCTGAGTGCTATCATTGTCTCGTAATGCTACTGCTATCACTCATTTGTTTTTTGCAGACGATTGCTTCTTTTTTCGTGCA